TGATTATGAAGATCAACCGTTGTTGTTGTTGTGCTCTTTACCTAAGTCTCATGCTCACTTCAAAGAAACTCTCTTGTATGGAAGAGAGTCATTGACCTTTGAAGATGTTCAATCTACCTTGTACTCTAAGGATTTGAACAAATGAAAGGTGCACAAGTCATCTTCTGTTGGTGAAAGTTTGTCTGTTAAGGGGAAATGCTTAAAGAAAAATGGTAGGTTTGAGAAAAAGAAGGGTGAAGTTATACAAAATTCTTATGGTGGTAATGCTCATACTATTAAGTGATATCATTGTAAGAAGGAAGGTCGTACAAGAAAAGTATGTCTTGATTGACTGAATAATCATGGTGGAAAGGATAATGGTAATGCAACCATTATTCAATATGGTTATGAATCATCTGATGTCCTGGCGGTTTCAAGCAGTGACTCTAGCAAGGAGTGGATTATGGTTTCTGGGTGTACTTGGAACATGACTCCAAACAAAAACGTGTTTCAGGAATTGTGTGATCAAGATGGTGAATCAGTGTTACTGGGAAATAATAAAGCTTGCAAAATTGCAGGTATTGGATGTGTGAGATTCAATCTCCATGATGAGTCAATAACGCTACTAACTAATGTTAGGTATATACTTGATCTTAAGAGGAATTTGATTTCTCTTGGTAAACTCGACAAGAAAGGATATGTTTACAAAGGAGAGCAAAGCATCCTAAGGATAATGAAGGGGTCGAGGGAAATTTTGAGAGGCGTGAAGAAACAAGACTTGTATACCTTTGGCTAAGGTTATAAGTGATTCATCAAATGTGGTATCCATAAAACTTGTGTCAAAGACTGAGCTGTGATACAAGAGACTTAGCCATGTTAGTGAAAAAGGTCTGATCGAATTGTCGAAACAAAATTTATTGTGTGGTGACAAGGTCAAAAAACTAGAGTTTGTGAACCTTGTGCATTTGGTAAATCCTGTAGAATGAAGTTTAACAAAGGTAAATAAAGAACACATGGATCTCTTGAATACATTCATGCTGATCTTTGGGGACCTACAAGGAATCCTTCACACTCAAGTGCAAAGTATTTCCTATCCATAGTTGATGATTATTCTAGAAAGTTATGGGTATTCATCCAGAATACTAAGGATAAAACTTTTAAGAATTTCAAAAGTAGGAAGACTCTGGTTGAAAATTAAACTGGCAAGAAGTTAAGAGGTTGAGGACCGACAATGGTCTTGAATTTTGCAATGAGACTTTCAAAAACTCTTGTGCCGTGTATGGTATTACAAGACACAAAACTACTGCAAGGACACCCCAACAAAATGGTTTGGCTCAAAGGTTTAATCTAACCATTCTGGAAAGGGTGAGGTGCATGTTGGTAAGTGCAAGATTGAAGAAGGTGTTTTAGGTAGAAGTTGTTGTGACTGCAGCATACTTGATAAATATGATTCCTTCGATAGCCTTGGGAATAAAGACATCTGAAGAAGTCAGGTCGGGACATTCACCTAGTCTCGATAGACTTAGATTATTTGGTTATTTAGCCTATTCTCATATTAGGCAAGACAAAGTCGAACCTATAGCTTTGAGATGCATGTTCCTTGGATACCCTGAAAGAGTCAAAACTTATAAGTTGTGGTGCCTAGAGCCAGGTCACAACAGGTGTATCACAATTTGATATGTAGTTTTTAATGAAGCTGAGATGACTTTCAGGAAAATAGAGAACATTGGTTGAAGTTCGAAGATATTTGAAGAAGAGCTGGAACAAAAAGAGATTCCTCTTGAGGTAGAGCATAATGATGCTGAATTGCTTGACTCAGATGAAGTTGAAGAAGATACAAAAGTTGATGTCAAAACTGAGAAGACTGATAATGACTACCTGTTGGCAAGAGACAGGCTGAGAAGAGTCATCAAGCCACCTCAGAGACTTGGTTATACATATCTTATAGTTAATTCCTTAATATCAACAAGTGAGGTTATGGACGAAGAACCTAGAGACTATAAGCAAGCTATAAGGAGTCGAGACAAGACTGAATGGTTGAAAGGCATGGATGATGAGATGAAATATCTTCATGATAATAACACTTGGGAGCTGATCGAGAAATGTTCAGGGGCCATGTTAGTCAGTTGTAAGTGGACCTTCAAGGTTAGGGAAGGAATCCAAGAAGTGTTGTCGAAGCGTTTTAAGGTAAGGTTAGTTTCTAAAGGGTTCACTGAAAAAGAAGGTATCGACTTCAATGATGTGTTCTCACATGTTGTAAAGCATAGATCCATTAGATGGTTGTTAGCTATGGTGGCGAAGTTTGACCTAAAACTTGAATAGATGGATGTGAAGACGACCTTCATCTATGGTGATCTAGATGAAACAATCTCGATGAGGCAACCTAAAGGGTATGCAGAAAAGAGAAAGGAGGATTATGTGTGCAAGCTGAATATGTCTTTGTATGGCTTGAAATAATCTCCTCGACAATGGAATAGGAGATTCAACAATTTCATGACACACATTAGTTTCACTAGGAGCCAGTTCGACCACTGTGTTTACTTTAGATTTCAACATGGAAATTCACTCGTTATTTTTTTGCTTTTATGTGGATGACATCCTCATAACAAGCAACAATGTCGAAAATGTTATGAAGGGGAAGGCTAAACTCGATAAGGAGTTCGACATGAAGGATTTGGGAGCTGCCTTCAAAATTCTTGGGATTGACATCCAGAGAGATAGAAAGCAGTCGAGATTATGCTTATCTCAAGAGATATACCTGAAGAATACTCTCGACAAGTTTGGTATGTCAAATTCAAAGCCTTTTTTAACATCGACTAATATTTAATACAAGTTGAGTACGAATCAAAGTCGAAAGAGCCTATATGAATAACACTCCATATGCTAATAAAGTAGGTTCTTTGATGTATGTTATGGTTTGCACAAGGCCAGACATATTGTACGGAGTGAGCCTTGTAAGCAGATATATGAAAAATCTTGGAAAGGCGCATTGGCAAACATTAAAGTGGATTCTTAGGTACATCAACGGGTCTCTGAGCATAGTCCTGATTTATGATGGAGTTTGTGGTGATGATAGCAAATTCGAAATCGAAGGATTTGTCGACTCTAATTATGCAGGTTGTATGGATTCCAAAAATTTATTTCTGGATATGTGTTCACTATGTTTGACACAACAATCAGTTGGAAAGCGACACTTGAGTAGGTTGTTGCCTTATCAACCACTGAAGTAGAACATATTGCCCTCACTTAAGCTATGAAAGAAGCATTGTGACTTGAAGGTTTTGCTAAGGAGCTGGAACTTCAAGGTCGAGTTATCACTGTTAAATGTGATAGTTAAAGTGTAATACATCCGTCGAAGAACTCAACCTATTATGAGGGAACCAAACACATCGATGTGAGGCTGCACTTCGCTAGAGAGATAATCGAGCATGGAGAAATCCAAGTGATAAAGGTTTTGACTGATGACAATATTGGTGATATGAACACCAAGACATTGCCAAGTAATAATTTTTTCCACAATATGCAGTTGATAAAGTTGCATGATGAAAGCTAGTTTGTTCCCTTATTAATGTAGAGTTTGTTCCAAGGTGGAGATTTATGGTATTTGGATCGAACTTTAGTGTCGACAAGGGTAACTTCTTTGTTTAATAGGAGTTGTGCATGCTGCCGAAATATGTTAACTTTGTGTTTAAGTAGCATGTTAATTTGGGCCTTACTTGTAAGCCCAATTGTTTAAGTTTGTTTGTTCCTCAAGTTAACTTAATAGTCTATAAATAGACTAGTTCTCTCAGGTTGTTAAGAGAGGTTCATTGTTGGTATTCCCTTGTAATCTTTGAATCCTTATTGAGTAAGTGAATAGTAAAACTGTTTTAACGAATTCTTATTTTTCTTCTTCCTTCTTCTTTATCTTTTGTAAAACCTAATAGGGCTTCTTGTGTTTTTTCAAGAAATTCAATCTTTATCTCATTTTTTATTTTGTTCTTGATGACATCAATTGTCAACAATATTAATAAAAAGGTTAATAATCTATCTGTAAATGAGACTATCACATTGTGAGAAAAGTTGTTATAGTCAAAATTTGAAAATTCAAAAAGAAGTTTTAGTGTGATATTTATATTAGTAAGAACAAAAAGATTTAAATATGACAGGGAGAAAAATTAATGCTCTAGTTTAGTTGAATCAAAGAGAAACTATCCTAGGCCTAAAAGATTCGAAGATTGTTGAAGTTGATAGATTTGAATGCAGATAACTAGCAAGAGTACTTTAGAAGATGTAGAGATTTAAGTTAGTTTTTTAATTAAGGACATGTGTCAAGCATGTAACTTTGACAATCTACTTTAAATAAGTAGATTGATTTTAGAATTTGGAAATTCATTTATTTTGAAAATATGCAAACATCTATTCTATTAAGATTCACAATCTTGATTAAATATTAGACGGATAATTGTCTTTTAATTTTATAATAAGTCAAACTAATTCTACAAATTCACCTATTCGAAGGGCTAACACAGCCCCATGTGGTTTGTCACTAGGACTCGTTCTCTCAAAAAAAACTCAATCTTTGAAAAAGAATGAGTGGAACTCTAAAAAAAAAAAAAAGACCACTATATAGTATTAGAAGATAAAAAAAAAGATATCACATATGAATTATAACAAAATAAATTATTGGACTGTAAACATGGTTGAATTAAAACTAGACTCACATTAATACTCTCTTTATTTAAATTTTACATATGAATTTTCTTATAACTTAATTTTTCCATTAAAACTAATTACATTCCTTAAAAATGGTCAAACTACACATATCTTTTCTATAGATAGTACATGTCATACATTGATAAAAATGCATTCTAGAGGGAAGTAAGATAACAAAGTTATAACTAACCAACAAAACAACACAACACAACCTTCATATATTGATTAACCTCTCTCATTACACTTTATGCTCTTTCTCTTTTCTTGCAAAACAAAACCCTATCCCTAATTCTGCATTTCTAATTAGAGAATCCAATTACAGTCAAATGTCCGACATTCAGCCGGCCGACGGCCACTTAAACGGCGGAAGAAACCTAATTCCGAACTCCGGCGAACAAATCGCAACGAAACGGTTGAGAAGGCCGAGTGTCCGATTAGGCGACATCGGCGTCGACCCACCTTACGAGTCTCATGGCAGACGCAACACCAAGAGTTGGAAACCAATTGGTTTCGATCATCCACGCAAGGAGAAAGATTCCAACTCCTCAGGTAAACCTTCCAAGACTCGTCCTTTAACTAATTTGACCTCGGTTGCCGATTTCAATGAAACCCTAGACGGTGAAGAAAGAGAAGAGAACGTTGATAGTACCGTTGCAATTGGTAGCTGGAAGGTTAAGGAATCCAAGAAAAGAGGCCCCGTTGCCACCAAGAGAGCTAGATCGAGTTGGGTTTCAAGAATTGATGATGCCGGTGGTGGTGGCGGTGGCGGTGGTGGTAGTGGTAGCGGAACTGGTGTTGTTGAATTAGAGGAAAAATATAGTGGTGCTGAAGATGTGGATGACGGGTATAGAGAATTCGACATGGAGAATTCGGAAAGCCCCGTGAAAGAACAAAGCCCTATTCATTCAATGGAGAATATAGGGATTGATGGGCATAGAAGGTCTTTTAAGAGTAGGGATCATAATGATGGAATTGATATATCTGGGCCATCTGAAAATGATGTTAGGAATGAGAATGGTGGGAGGATTAGGTCTGGCGAAGACGGGATTAGGATTTGGCTTAACGGATTGGGATTAGGTCGTTATGCACCGGTGTTCGAAGTGCACGAGGTTGATGATGAGGTTTTGCCAATGTTGACACTGGAGGATCTTAAGGATATGGGGATTAATGCGGTCGGATCCAGAAGAAAACTGTACTGCGCTATTCAGAAGCTCGGTAGAGGCTTCTCGTGAGTTATTAGCTTTACTTGTTTTTGTTTTTTTAGTACTAGCAGGGAAGGAGAGGACTCTCAGCCATAGCAAAATTCCGATACTTGGCTGAACCGAGTTTTAATGTGTTCCGTTCCCGTTGACTTTTTTTTTCAGACATGGAATCGATAGGTTCTCGTTTGAGAAACAATCCTTTTTGAAATCCAGTGCAAGTACATATAACTGCAAGTTTTGTTAGAACAATTCTTTGTTTTTCTCTAGTAATTCTAGCTGCATTGTTGTCATTTGATAGCTTAGAAAGATTAACGAGGTTAAATAAGCGAAGTGTGCTCTTTCTTAAAGGAAAAGTGAATTAATGTTGTTTCTTCATTCTATCCATTGGAAAACCAAGGATGGAGTTGAATTTGTTTTATGTAGGCTTTGTTTGCAATACTTCTGTTGGCTAAATCATTCAATAAAATTGATGCATCATCACTTTGTATACGTACATCCTTGTGCCATGTAATTAACTTACATTTATAGTGATATGTATTGTCGATTTTGAGCTGCTTGTGTAAACTTTGTTTGTACGTGTTTATTTTCTTCCGTTTTTTGCTTTTGCGAATGCTAGGATGCGGCGGTGTTTCTCAATGAGTTGTCATACTAATTAAAACAATAATTAGTTTTTGAAAGTTAATGACTACAACTATTTAGCACATTCATTTTGTAGATATGATTGCCGTTTGGTACACTATTTGATTATCATGGATTAAATGAAATGCTCTGATTCTTCTGAATTGCCTTGTTTTTTACTATAATGTCATTGGCAATATCACTATGCAATAATTGTCAACTAGTGCTATTGAATATCGGTCATGGCAGTTATTAGTGGCGGTTTTTGGGCTTGCTGCAATGATGGATTTTCCGCCATAATCTGTTATGATGGCGCCACAAAGCGCCCAGTGTTACAGGATTTTGGCTCTGCCACCAACAACACTGTTGGCTACACTGATTTCAAGTTTGCAACTTGTCCCTTTGAACATATCAAGTGTGAATTTCATGTGATCAGTATTACTGCTATGCAGAAATATATGAAGCATACAATGTTGCAACTCCTGGATAAAATATTATTGCGCGGAAGTAAATTCAATTCATGTAGTCGGTCCTATTTAGTGGGATAAGACTTGGGTGGTTGTTGTACAATGTTGCAACTGGAATTTTTTAATCTTGGACATCTAATAATGGGGCTAAGGGGCAAATATGGTGGTGCTTACTGGATCAGTGTTATTTGTTAACATATATGATTGTTCATCTTTGGTGGGTCCTTTGATTAACACATTTTTAATGTGTTGACATGGTGGATGAATTTGATAAAAGAGGATTGAGGTTGGAGCAGGAAGCCCCACTGACAGAATTTTGTGCTTGCTGGAAAGTTAGCATGTTTACCATCTACTTGTGATATGTATAGAACAAAGCAGACATTTAATGCCTATAGACAAAACCTTTAACCTGTGATATGTATAGAACAAAACAGGCATATAATGCCCTTTAGACAAAATCTTTCTCCCATATTGTGTGGGAGGGTTAGGGGACCACCAAACCATTTTGAACATCTTATCTTCTTTTGTCAGGAGACTCTTCAATTGAGAGGTAGGGAATATTTGTGAAGATGAAGAATTTTTAGATTGATTGCATTAATTGAGTAAGTGTCTTATTAGTAGTTTGGAACTCATGTGTTTGAGCTACCAAGAGTACCATGAATGACACTTTGCTAGCCACCACTTTTCAATTATGATCCATAAATCACAGTTAGTTGATCACAGATATTAACACTGCTGTGTGTTCAGAATGAGTTTGAATCTAGGATCTTTGGTTATGTAGGAAGATATCAGTGTGTTCAAAACCTTTGGTTAAGCAGAAAAATATATCTTACCATGTTATTCAAGAGCTCTCTTTAGATAATTGCATGATAATTGTAAGGTAGCTAGTTGACAAATGATATTGATAATACAAAAACTAATAGATTGAATTTGTAATTAGTGGTTAAATTAATTGATAAGTATAAAATAACATAAGGTACAAAGTCTCCAATAAATAAATAAATTAAAATAATTAATTTACTCGAGTTCACTTAAAACTTGGGCAAATAAATTTTCAATTTTCGTTAAAGATCATGTGGTACCGGTACCACAATCAAGAAGACAATACCTAATATTTGTTTTTATACGATGTCTCTTGTCACATTTAATCATAGAGTCCTCTGTATTTTACACGGGTGATCTATGGTGGTTGTAACTGTCTTACACGAGTGATCTAGGGTAGTTGTAACTGTCTTTCATATATAAAGTTCGGCGAGTGTCAATTTTTTTTAGATATTATACTAATTCTCATTCACTAACTTGAGCGTTAGAATGTCAATTTTGCATGTCCATCTTGCTCATCGGAAGCACACTTCATTGCAGTTGAACTCTGATTTACTTAGTTATCAATTTATTTTTTGAATGGAACAATGATGCCTTATGCGGGAATCAACTTTTGACGCTTACGAATTTTCACAATTAGATCATTTTGGTTTCAAAGTCGCAAATTGCTAAAACGATCTTGCTCGAAAGAAGAGGATGATGCTCGATCCATCTATGAAAATCACCAATGATTCACCAACTTTAAAATCATCCTCTTACCTCGTTGTTTCTCTTATTGATGGTGGATCTTCTAGCAAGGGGAAATTGAATTAAAAAGTTTGACCTCTTACCTCGTTGTTTCTCCTATTGATGGTGTATCTTCTAGCAAGGGGAAATTGAATTAAAAAGTTTGACAGGAAGTTCTTTAAGATCGTTGGTGGCAACTAGGAGGTAGGAAGAAGACAAAACTATCTTAGGGTTCCTAGACAATGACAAGGTGGACGAGATTTCCATTGCGAACCTTTTATGATCGAAACTTGTGATATAGAAAACTATTTGATGTCAGGGATCCTTATTGATGACAAAAGTTCTTGGGACATCCTATACTTTAGCATCTTCGTGAGGTTAGGGTTACGCGATCGGGACCTCATGCCATATGTAGGTAGGAATCTTTTAGGGTTTAACAATTCCACCATTCTCCCTTGTGGAGTTATAGAATTATCAATTTCTGTCGAAAAAAGAAAGGACAGGAGGACTGTGACACACATTTTTTAGTAATTCCTTGCAAAAGCTATTGGGGGACAATATGGAATCGAATTGTCTATAAGAAGGTTGAATAGACCCTTTACTGAAAAGATCAATTACAAACGTTTAGTTTTTTAAAATTAGAGTTCGATAAAAAAATGCTCTGCATAGAAGAATTTTCATACACAACTATAATTTCTGTTAGTTCCAAAACCAAATAATTGATTGTTATTGGTGTTTTCAAAATGAACTTTAATAACAGTATGTTAGTTACATATTTTAACATTTCTGACTAAGCTTTTAGAGTCTGAAATGTGAGGACTATCTATTAGGAAGATCCTAAAGTCCCACATTGGTTGGAGATAGAGCATTGAAATAGTTTATATAGAGTGACACCCCTCACCTTACCAACCGGTTTTGTAGGGTAGTGTTAGGTCAAACTCTAATATGGTATCAGAGCCTATCGATCGGACCTTGGACAACCCACCGTTTAAATGGGGGTGTATTAGGAAGATCCTAAAGTCTCACATTGGTTCCGTCTGATGGGTCAACATGAGGGGGGAAACATTCACATTGAGTCAAACATTCACCTAAACATCAAAGACTCGCCCAAACAAGTGAGAGAGACACCACATAAAATTTTAAGGTGATAGTTGTATGGATCCTCTTACTTATAAAGTGTTCAACCTCCACTTTTCTAAGCAATGTGGAATTTAAAACTCACACTTGGTTTCTAACAATCTCCCTATCAAGTGTGAGTCTATCCTATGCATTCCCTCAAGCAAGAAGCTCTTTCATTCACATACTTGTACCGTCGTTAAAAAAATAAGAATATATATAACTAAAACAAATCCTTTGTTTTATAACAAACGGGGTTTTATAACAAACGGGATTTTCGGTATAGGAATAAACAAACCATGGATAAATCTAAGCGACTGTTTGTTAAATCATCTAAGCTACTGTTTGTTAAATCGAAGAAGAAGAAATCAATTCGTAGGAGGTCGCCCCTAATCCAATTTGGGGATCGAATTGATTATAAAAACTTGAGTTTACTTTTCAAACTTGTCACTCGAGAAGGCAAAATTTTATCTAGACGTGTTAATAAATTGACCTTAAAACAACAACGATGGATTACGATTGCTATAAAACAAGCTCGTATTTTATCTTTGTTACCTTTTGGAAGTTCGTCACCTCTTCTTAAAATTGCAAAAAAAAAATATGAAAAAAAATGTGGCATTTAAAACTCACACTTGGTTTCTAACAATCTCCCTATCAAGTGTGAGTCTATCCACTATGCATTCCCTCAAGCAAGAAGCTCTTTCATTCACATACTTGTACCGTCGTTGAAAGACACCCTTATCTCGTCATGTGCACTCCAACGAAACATTCTGCCTGACCACCAAGTCGGAAGACTTTCGACACAAGGAGCCGGTCCCTTACTCGAACTGGGCTTTGATACCACTGATGACTCAACATGAGGGGGAAGCATTCACATTGGGTCAAACATTCATCTAAAGATAAAAAATTTACCCAAACAAAAGAGAGAGACACTACATATTTATCTAAAATTTTAAGGTGATAGTGTATGAATTTAACTGTTAGTACATATAACTGAAGTTTTGTTAGAGCAATTCTTTTTTTTTTTCATTTCCTCAAGTAACTCTAATTGTATTGTTGTCATTTGATAGCTTAGAAAGATTAATGAGGTTAAATAAGCGAAGTGCGCTCTTTCTCAAAAGAAAAGTGAATTGATGTTACTTCATTCTATCCATTGGAATACCAAGGATATAGTTGAATCTTTTTATGTAGGCTTTGTTTACAATACTTCTGTTAGCTGAATCATTCAATAAAATTGACACAACATCATTTTGTATACGTACATCTCCGTGCCATATAATC